GTTTGATTACACAATTAATAATAAAATAGTTTTTGCAAAAAAGGATGGTGGGTCTGCTACTTCTTTCTATCTCTATTTGGCTTTCATTTGAACGGGTGTATAGTTTTTCTTCACTCTGGTGATGAGTGTCCATTTACCATGAAACCAATCAAGAACTACTCTCTTTTTTTTTCATGGAAAACCCATTAATAAATTCTTAAATCAAAAAGTATCTTAATCATCACCACCCTCCATAGCCTCCAAGAACCATCATACCACCACCATGATAGTTATAACTTCAAGGTCATCATCACACCCGGTAGGACTAGTATTGAAGATTGACTGTGGCCACCACTTTTGTGTATCATTTTTTTTTAGATTTATTGGTTGTTTAATAAATTATGTGAGATTTATTAATCTAACCACTTATATTAAAGTAGTGTATTATTATCATAGCAATACTATAAAATTGAAATAAAATCTAAAAAATTATAAACTAAATGTATATCATCATTTTTGAGGCGTCAGTCTCATCAATTTTTTTTTTTTTTTGTAGAACCTACTCATCTAAGTATCATCCAACAAATCATATGCATTTAAGAGCATCTCTAACAATAATAGTTATTTTAGCTACTCAAAAAACAACTTTTTCTATTTTAGCTACTCATTTTTTTCAATACATACTCCAACAGATTTTTTATATTTTTAACTACTCCTTTTAAATATTATTTATTATCCTTTTTGTATTATATTTTTTGGGAATAGTGAAAGAGACAACGAGAGAATGAAAGAAATACGAGGAAGAAAGAGATAATAATATATATAAATGTTTACATATTACTACAGTGACACTCTAAATATAGCAAATATGGAATACGAACAACATTTTGGACAACATTTCCCTTTTGTAGCAAATATGTATTTTACATAATAGGAACAACATTTTGGAGATGAAGTTTTGCTCCAAAATAGCTAGATTTTAGATATTTTGCCCATTTAAAGCATATGTTGGAGATACTCTAAATTTTAACTTTTAAATTTTCTTTAGGTTATATAGTATTTTACTTATTATAATAACACTAGGAATAATTTGTGTCTGATATAATGTAAATAGTTTTAAAAAAAATATTAGTGACTATTGAATAAATTTGTTTGAGATCGATAAATAAATTTATTAAAATATATTCTATTTAATATTATTGATGTGAATTGAAATAGTCCTTGATGGCGGGGAATGTCGGCACTATACACCTTTTGACCAACAAAGGGGCACAGAAAGCGAAAGAGAAAGACAGAGAAATGTGCACCGCCGGAAAAACTGTGTAGTATAAGCTCACACTCCTCGTGGTAGATTTGGTAGGAACATCATTAGGAAGTTCGGATTAAATATTGGGTTAACAACAGTTAATAACTATGCCAATATTGTTAAGTAGTATAATTATTTAATATATAAAAAAGTGGGGTTTTAATATTGAACGGTTTACACCACGTCACAGCTGACAAAATGTAACTGTTACACCTAATATTTACTCATTTGGAAGACTCGCCGAATAATCAATCTATACATTTAATGTTATTGAGATTTAAAATATTAACTTAACTGATAAAGTCCACGTAAAAATAGTTACAATAAAGGAAAATTTCAACCAAAAAATTTTCTATTTTATTATATCTTCAAAAACACCCTCTCTATTATAAAAAAATATTATTGATACTCTTTCTAGTTTATATTTAAACATCAATAACATTCTCTGCCATTACGCCACTATTTCTAACAAAAAATTCATTTAAAATACTAAAATTACCCCTGTATAAATTTCAAACAATCTTTCTACATAAAAATTCGATTAAAATTCGAACCAATTAAAATTTATTTTTTTACATATTAAAATTCAAACTGATTAAAATTTATTTTTCTACATACTAAAATTTGAGTCAATTAAAATTCGATTTGAGTTGATTAAATTTTAAATTATTTTAAGTATTAAAATTCGAACCGATTTGAATTCTATTTGAGCTATTAGAGCCAATTAAAATTCGTTTCGAGTCGATTAAAATTTATATTTTTTTTTACTTATTAAAATTTGTTCCAATTAAATTTGGATTCAAGTTGATTAAAATTTATTTTTTGAGTATTAAATTTTATATTTTTTTTTATGTATCAAAATTCGGGTCAATTAAAATTTAATGCGAGTTGATTAAAATTTGATTCGAACTAATTTTTAATTAGCTCAAATTGAATTTTAATACGTAAAAAAATATAATTTTTAATTTACTCGAATTTTAATACGTAAAAAATAAATTTTAATTAACTCGAATTAAATTTTAATTGATCCAAATGTTATAGAGAGAGTCTTATTGAAGATATGTTTATTTAGAGGGGATGTAGATGAAATTTTTTATAAAATATATCAAGAGCAATTTAATAAAATTATATTCTAATTAATATCTTTAATCTGACAAGGGGTGTTAGTAAAGATTTAAAAAATAGATGGGGTGCCTTTGAATATATGATAAACTAAAATGGTTGTTGCGAAATTTTTACTTAGAACAATATTATTGAACTCCATTACTGTTACATTATTAGATCAATTTTTTAGGTTACAACAACATAACTCTTCCTCAAATTCTAAAACAGTCACACAAAAATAGGTTAATTGCACTATAGGCCCCAATAATTAGGTTTGTCTCATTTTGATCCCCAAAATTATTATCGCATTATTTTAATTCTTAAAGTATTTAATATGTTTATATGTGGTCCCTCAAGTAGATAACTTCTAAATTACTAACAATTTTTAATCATAAACTTGTCAAGTGATACTTAAATATGGTCAAAAAAAATAATTTTGATAACTCTTGACTAAATTTCTATCCAAATTTTGGTCAAGTAGCTCCAAATTCCATATTTTTAGTCATGAACTACAGAAATTTTGGTTAAAAGTTATCCAAATTACACATTTTTTGTCAAGAGTTATCCAAATTTTAATCAAAAGCTATCCAAATAATTTTTTTACCCATATTTAAGTATCACATTATAAGTTTATGATTAAAAACAGTTAATAATTTGGACATTGTTTACTTGAGGAATCACATAAAAACATATTCAATATCTCAAAAATTGAAATGATGTAATTAAAATATTGAGGATCAAAATAAAATAAACCACATATTTTAAGGACTTTCAATACAATTAATCCAAAAAACAAAAAAAAATGAGCAAAATATAATTAATATAACTCCAACTCAATTAAGCTTAATTAAGAGCCAGACAAATGGAAGGTGCCCCCACCACAAGCTGACAAGTTGGCCAAAGATTGATGGCCACGACCCATCACCTAAAAATCCTTGGGTAACCCAATAGTCTAATGACTAGAGTTTTGTACCATCATGGTGTATGGACGTTACGGAAGATATTATCATCAGAAATTTCGAAGAGCCAAGACAGTGAAGTTTGACTTAGACCAACCAAATTAACCCATATAAATATAAGAAAAATGCTACATAATCCATCATCACGAGAAACCAACAATCCATTCACTATTTGACACTTCAAAAACCAGTATGTGTTTATATATTTTATTATTCGTCCACATCATGCCGACATTCTTTAACACCAAAGTAATTGTCTATTTTTTCGAATATTTATAGACTTAGAAGGGATTTCATTAAATCGCAATAATAATTCAGATTATACTATTAATAAGGGCCAAAACACCGTATCATACAACCATCATTGGATTGATTTTGGACTCTTGCAATGAGATTGAAAGTTTATCACTCAACTTACAAAAGACCGTCATTTGTCTTTTTTGTTAAAAAGGCGTCCAGATTGATCTCGATTACTCCTTCGAATTCTAAGTTTACCACCATAATTCGAATTAGTTTTAGGACATATCCTCTGAAAAACAAAAATGGCTCATATTTTTTCATTTGTATCACTCTATACTCGCGATATCTGAACAATACACACCTTTTTTTGCAATTAAATATAAATTAAAATGAAACTAAATAGATTTATTATTAGTTCAAGAGATGATTCGATCCCAGAAATTAGAAAATCGGAATTGTTGAATGGATTGAGAATTGAGATCAAGGGTACTTGTCCATGCTTGACTAACATGGGAGTTTTTCTTGATTAATACCCACGTGTCTTTGATATTCTTTAAATGGGTCACGGTCACAATTTGGTTATGTGTAATTACTGGGCCATCCCTACCCGACCTTTAGTTCAATTATTTTGGATCTTCTGTTTTGTAATTGGGTTGATGTGGACACCCTAGAGCCCCCCATATCAATAGGCAAGCACGAAAGACTATGACCACCATTCAAATGATGAATGTGTAAAACGTTCAATTATTTGATTAATGGTACTATACGTCATCGAGAACGTGGTATTACCGTTATATTAAATATTTTCTCTTCTTTAAGAAAATCAACTACAATGGTTGAGAATTTTTTCCCAACAAATTACTCGAGATAAAAACTCGGGATAAATTTGTGAGTCTAAATCACCTAAATTTATCATGTTAACATTGAATTTTCATATGCTTTTACATCGTCTATAATCTAATCAAATTGGTTTGCTTCTAATTCATCGATATCAATCATTACGTGCACACGATGATACCAAGTCTTAATGTATCACAATCAATAACTAGAATTTATGGCACTCAATGGGTAAGTGATAACCAAAGAAAATTATGTTGTCTAAGTTCTCGTGTGTGCGCGCGCGCGCAAAGCTAGCCCGTAGAAAACCAAGGAGCAAGAAAAGGGCCCTGAACAACACTTGATGCATGGCCCCTACGTAAATTACGTTAAGTCACACAACTCACAGCCATTAAGTCCCGCATCCAACTTTACCACCTCTCTCTTCTCTCCCTCAAAAGCTTCCCCCTCCTCCACCATCAACCAACCCTCATTTCTCTCTCCCTCCTTTAACAGGAAGGGCAGAGAAATTCAACACAAAAACACCCTCAACCTCTCTCTCTCTCTCATTCCATTTCTCATACTTCTTCATTCCTAAATCCGTCCTACATCAGTTACGGTGTTACCTTAATGGCTATTCGCCTCGGGTTACTTCTCCTCCTCCTGGCCTCGGCCATGGTGGCGGAGTCATCATCCTCGCCATTCCATTGGGGTGTCACCGAATTGTCCCGAGAATCACGTGGTGACGGTGGGCTACCGGCATTGCAGACATGCAATGGGCTTGTTGGGGACTGCATAGATGGGGACGAGGAGATGATGATGGAGTCGGAGTCAGCCCGACGAGTACTCGCAGCAGGAAGGTATATCAGCTATGGTGCAATGCAGAGGAACAACGTCCCGTGCAACCGCCGTGGAAGATCTTACTACAACTGTAACTCCCATGGCAGGGCTAATCCTTACAGCCGGGGCTGCAATACAATCACCAGGTGCGGCAGACGCACCTGAGAGTTTTCATGCTTGGCACCACGAAGGGATATAAAGATAAGGATACTATCATTCTGGTTCATAATAATAATAACAATAATAATAATAAGGTTAATCATAAGAATAAGAATTGGGGTTGAATGGTGATTCTTTGGCTAAATGTTTTGCAACACTTCCAAATTTGATCCCCCAAAAAAAAAAAAAAAAACCTAATAAAGTAGTTGTAACCCTAAACTCTGAATTTTAAAATGTTGCTACGTCCTTGATGATTGTAACATGACTATTTGCTATTTAATATGGGTGCAACGGGGTAAATTATAGATGTTATTTATAACTTTTGAAATGTCTCTCTCTTCTTGAAATGAATGTGATTGATTAAATCCTCCTCTACCAGGTGCGGGTGGAAGGCTCCTTTTCCTTTCTTTCTTCAAACTCATACCTTGAATTGAAAGACATGACTACAATTGTTTTTTATTTCTCCTTTCTTTTCTGTCTGTGATTGTAGAGCAATGGTGATTGGTGTCACACCCGACCCCGAGGTCATTTTTGTCAGCCTCCCAACCTAGTGAATCTCACGAGTCAGCCTAGGGATTCGAATACCCGTACCCTCAGTCCAGTGGCTCCCACCTTTGCCATTAGACATTTAGACTAACGCTCTTTGTTGCTAGCATAAAAATGAGTCGTGAGGATCAACTAGTAGAACAAAAACATAGGATATGTAAGGCTGATCATCAGTAATGGAATTTGGCACATGTTCAATACACTACACACCACCCATCCACCACCCACAAACACACACACAGATATATATTGTCTACAATCTTCCATTGCAGCAATAGATAAGAAAAACGGGGTCCCTGAACAATAAGAAATAAAAATTTGCATACCATTAGAAGGCACCTCTCTGAAGAAAATCCACTAGGCATTACACAGCCAAGATACACCGTTTCTGTGTGCAGGATATGGGCTCAAAGGTCAAAACCATCAAAACAACCACCATCGTCGTTGTCGATTCTTTTTCTACACCAAAGAACCAATGAGTGGCACATTTCAGTGACTATCAAAGTAATATAGTTTCGAAAACATAAGACGGGACAGTACGACAAGAAAAAATTGGTAGAGGTGCACAGAGGGATCCTAAACTGTTCATCCAAAGTGCAATTCAACTCCATACAGAAATCTATGGCACATCCTAACATCATAAATGATCTTCGAGATAAAAGGCTTCATGAAATGCAAAAATGCTAGGGCACTGTCAGGCAGCAGCGAGATATGGACTATAACAATTTTGAAAACCTTAGAAGCCCAGCAACTGATGCCTCATTTTCAATCAAAATAATGCAAATTCTCAAGAATTGAGCTTCGTAACAATGCAGATGCGAACAAGAATTGAACGCAGGCCTTAGTTTTCAAGTTCTTTAATGATCTAAATCATGGAACTCAGTAAAAGATCAACCTACCCTGCCGCAAAACAAAGA